GCCCTCGCACCCCCCGGCCCCGGCGCAGCCCTGCCCGGCCCTGCCGCCGGACCCGCATTTCCTCGTCGTCCCTCCACGGGGACGGAGCTGTGAGCACGGCGGCTCTAACAGCCGTCGGTGTCCCTGCGCCCGAACCGGGAGCCCAACTCCGGCGCAGACAGACGGGCGGACTGAAGCTGGCGGGTTTGCAGGGCGGAGAGAGGCCGCCGGTGGGGCCAGCTCCCGGAGAGGGCGGTGCCGGGGCCCCGGGAAGATTCCGGTTTCATTTCGCGCGTGAAGGGGAGGCAGGGAGGCTACTGCGGAGCCTTGGCGCCCGGGAGCACGGTGGGCAAGCCCGTAGGCCTGCGACAGTCGAGACCTGCAGGCGGCCTTCGCGCGGACACCGGCCAGGTCGCACTCGTGCTGCTTGGAGGTGACGGTCGCGCTTTCGGAGGTTGAAGCGATGGGCCCGGCCCGGCGGTGTGAGCAGGGGGTGGGCCTGGCTCACGGGCCCTTCCTTCCCCAGATCCGCGGCTCCAGAGCTCGGGCCCTACCCGACAGGGCCCTGGTGAACTGCCAGTACAGCTCCGCCACCTTCAGCACGGGCGAGCGCAAGCGGCGGCCACATGGGGACCGAAAATCCTGCGAGATGGGCCTGCAGCTCCGCCAGACCTTTGAGGCCGCCATCCTCACACAGCTGCACCCACGCTCCCAGATTGACATCTACGTGCAGGTGGGCTCCGGCCTGGGAGGGCAGGGAGGCGGGCGGCGGAGGGGCCAAGTGCTTACTCACACCATGGAGTCCCTGCAGGTGCTGCAGGCGGACGGAGGGACCTATGCAGCTTGCGTCAACGCCGCCACACTGGCCGTGGTCGACGCCGGGATACCCATGCGGGACTTTGTGTGCGCCTGCTCAGCTGGCTTTGTGGATGGCACGGCACTGGCGGATCTCAGCCATGTGGAAGAGGCTGCTGGTGGCCCCCAGCTGGCCCTCGCCCTCCTGCCGGCCTCTGGCCAGATCGCACTGCTTGAAATGGACGCCAGGCTGCATGAGGACCACCTGGAGCAGGTGCTGGAGGCTGCTGCCCGCGCTGCCAGAGACGTGCACACTGTGCTGGACAGGGTGGTCCGGCAGCACGTGCGTGAGGCGTCGGTCTTGTTGGGGGACTAAGCACCCAGCCACGCACACCCAAAATAAAGCCTGCCAGTCCACTGTGCTTCTAGCTCTGAGCCCAGCATGCCCACCACTGGACCCGGTACTGGCGAGCAGGCTCCTGGCGCCGACTGGGGCCTCCGCGCTCCCTGCACAGCTCCTGCAGGACAGGACTGCACCCCAGGGTGCAGGTCATCGTGGGGGAGGTGACACAGCCTTGGCTGGCCAGACCCCGACTACTGGGGTGCTCACCCTCACCCCTGCACTTCAGGGCATCGATAGAGGGCTTGTGCCCTCCCCCCAGGTGCCCGCCCTACAGATAGGCGCAGGGCACCCTCTAGGTTATGCAGTGGCCCCTTTTCCTGGTGGGAGCCCCGGCACCTCTGCTGGAGCGGAGCCTGGGCTGCTGGGCGCGACAGCAGAGCCCTGTGCAGCCCGCTCCCCGCCCCAGCGGCACTTCGCGGCCCTGGGCGCCACCTTCCTCCTGTGGCCATCGAACCCCGCCGAGTTCACGCACGAAGTCACAGCACTTGGGCGTAGCTGCCACCACGGTCGGTGCCCCCGACTCTTCCTCCCGGCTGCGGCCCCTTCGCCTCCCACCTTCCACCGCGCTTTCCTCCCACCCGCCCCACTGGCTCCCCTGCAGACTCGCCAGCCTCAAGGCCGGTGGACACGCCGCGCAGCGAGGCGGCTGGCGGGGAGCAGGAACCTGGCCGTGAGCTCCGAGCATGCGCGCGCGGGGCGGGTCGACGGC